TGGCAGCAGGGGGCAGCCGCCATCCTCTCACACTGGGATGAGCAGGGGGCAATGACGACGCTGCAGCTGAACCCTTGGGGACAGCACCCTGACATCGCTCATCATTGCCCACCAGTTCCTAGAACTGGACTCCTGGCCCCTAAGGAGTGACTACAACAGGGAGGGAGGGGAGAAAGAGAAGATCAATTCAATTAAAAGATAACCCTCCTGAGGTAGCCAGCCAGTCCTCAGCAATGTCCCAGACCCCTAAGGCACGCGCACCATTGGTGACCAGCCAGACCGAGCAAATTGTACCACGGGCACGGCCCTATCTTTGTCTAAATGCCAAATGGGGCTGTGTTCCTTCGGCCAGCCGGGCACGCACAGGAAATGCATTTCACAGCAGGCAAAAATGTAATTCAGGAAACACTGCCACATACTTATTACCTATATGCAGGTACAATGGAACACGGAAACCAGGAGAGAATATTTATTTCTCTCCCCTTGGCTTCCTCAGAGATGCAGAAGATGGGCTTGGCCGTTGGTTGGTCGGCCGACCGGCTGGCTACTCTCAAAGTCCAGAGATGACCAGGTGTTTACCTGTCCTGTGGTCATCATCACCAATCCCTCCATCCCTTCTCCATGCTACCAGCCTCCTCCTCCAGCCCACGAAGTGGGGCGGCTTATCCTCCAGGTTGCTGAAGAGCAAAAGTCTCGGCCCACCAGCCAGCACCAGGAGCAGGAGCAAGTTGTCTGTCCCTACCATCTCAACGAATGGCCTCCAGGTTGCGTTAAGCCTGGAGGGCAGTGGTAGAAGGGGCAGCCCAGGCAAGTAAGGGGTGACAGAGCAAAAGACTCCACCATCCACCCAAGAGACAGACCCCTGCTACAGCCGCAGCCATTTGGGGGCCTCTGTCACTAGGTTATTAGGGGGCTACCTCTCTGTTTCATAACCCAAAGTGACAATGATCCCCTCCAAAATATTCAAAAGCCAACTACGCCTCGTCCCGGTTCCACAGGGAGTCAGGTTTGTCTGTGACTCTTTTGTCTCAGGATAGCAAAGCCACAACTTCCCGTCGGCCTCCCCAGCGGATGGCCCGCAACCCCAAGCAGGACCACGGAAGTCCTGTCTCTTAGCTGCGGCCGGAGTGGGGGATGCAGAGAGAACCCATCACCTAGGGCTGCTGAAAGCTTCAAACAGCCCCCTGAGGACTCATCAGGGCCGCCAGAGCTCCCTAAAAAGACAGCTGAGCTCCGGACAAGCCAAACCCGTGCCTCCAACCTGACGATTGATTTTTAATTTGGGTACAATTATCAAGCGTGGATTACTGTAACGAAGGCAAATTGCTCACACTGTACAATATTAGCTTGATCCCGCGAGCCAAGCCCACATGTTTTCGGGATTATATCTTTTTATTTCTAATTTGTCACAGCTGGGAAGCCTTTGCACACACATTTTAAAAGATCGAGGAAACTCAGCCCCCTGTTCCCCACACACACACCCCCACCACCACTGGCTCTGCCCCTAGAAATACGGCGACCTCTTTCACTCCTCAGGTGGAAAGAAGATAGCAGACCCCAAGAGGAGAAGAAAAGATGGGACCTCGGAATAGAAAACCTCCTAACGATCCATCTACTTGAAGATAACTGGGCCATACCGCAGCAGCTGGGGCTGGGGCTAAAGGCAAAGTACAGCTCTGGGGTTCCTCTGTCACACTAAGCACCACTAGCTGCACCCCCAAAGGTCCCAACACAGGGAGAGATAGAGCAGTGTAGAATGCCACACCTACAGGGCAGAGGGAAAAGCAGGGGGCATGTCCCAGGGCGTGCAGCCCTGAAACAGCCGACGAAGGAAGGCAGCAAGAACAAGGGACCCTATAGTCAGGAAGTCACCAGGAGTTGGGGGGTGGGGGAAAAGAATCATTCAGGGGCCTTCTTCCAAATGGCTACTTGTCTCTCTCGTAACCCAAAGTGACGTGAAGCCCTGCAAACATCAGCCATGATTTCAGCATCCCCTAATCCCCAAGTTTGATATATTGTGCGGCCGACAGAGAAGTCCCGTCCCTTCCTTACTTAAGGGTCTCAGCATATGTTTGGCATTTATGAGAACAAAAGGCCCAGCCACGCCAGCGAGTTGGGAAGGAATTGAAGCCGTAACCAAAAACTTCGGAAGAAGGGGGGAGGGAAAAAATCCCCCTTCCTTCTCTGCTCCCCACAGCCCGCACCCCCCTCCCAACCACTACCACTAGAAAGAGAGAGAGATAATAAATTCCATACGCAACAGAATTCGACCCCTCGAGAAAGCTATCACTCTCAGCGCTAGAGAGAGGGACAAAGCCAGGAGTCACCCTGGCCCCCAACTTCTGAGCACCCAGTCAGCAGGCTCACAGCTGGGCCTGGGAAACGAGGGAAGAAAGGGGATGAGCGGGAGAGAAATGGATTCAAGCTAGGGGAAAGGGGTTCAAGGGTGCCTTGAAAGGGTACTTTGATGGGGCTGGGGGGGCAGGTCTGCCCTCCCAATGTCCCCTGTGATACACTGGAGTTTCTGGTTCAGAAACCCCCAAAAGCGTTCAGGAAACTTTCCAAACAACTTCCACGAGAGACGTCCAGGAAGAAAAGGAGCTAGTGGACTGCCGGGAGACAGACGGGAAATGGTTTTTTAAAGACCTTCTCTCTGGCTTGGATCTCCCTTCCAAGTGACCCAGAAGCAAGGGATGAATGAGGCAGAAGTGAGGTGTGTATGTATGGGGGGGGGAGTCCCAGGGGGCCCAGCAAATGGCTTGACTCACCTATATTTCTCACCCTCTGCCTGCTCTTGCTAACAACCCACATTCGTGCAATCCGAGCAAGTAGGATCCCGACGTAAAGAGGGGAACACCCTCAGTGGATTTTTGGGGGGAACCCAACATACCAGTACCGATCCTTAAGCTCAAGGAGAGGGAGATGAAGGCAAGCAGCAGGATGACAACATGGGTCCAAAGGCTAACGGGGAGAGATCTGCACATACAATCCAACCCGCTTCACAGGCTTGCTGGGGCAGGAAATGTTTCCGATCCACAGCCCTGGTCTCTCCCTCCCCCACCCCCCCCAACTTTCTTACAAGCCCCACACAGCCTGGGGATTTTGTACGCCTCTCTTAGGTCAAGGCTGGCCCCCTGCTCGGAGCACAGGGTCTTCTAGAGAGATTTCAATCCCCTTTCCCACACACAAAAAAACCCAACCCAAAATTATTAAGAACAGGAAAGTAACTTTGATGGCTGCAGAGAAGAAATGGCCTCTGCCTCTGCGGCAGAAACTCCAGAATCCTACCAAAGCCAGCTGAGGCCGGGAGGCCAGATGTCCACAAGCAAATGTGCTGAATAGGAGGAGAAGGTAGAAGGAGGGAAAAACCCAGAAAACAAGAGGGGAAAAAAAAAACTTTCTTGGAAACCTGGCATTGACATTTATAACCCAGTGGCAGGACGATGAGGCTTTCCAGTCCCGGGTTTATTGGACAGAGAGCTGAAGAAAGAGCAGGCTTAGAAACAGAATGGGAATGGACCAGGCACTGGGAATCCCAGAATTCAGATAACCCATTTTCCTGCCCCAAGGGAAAGATCTCCAGTAATCACATGGTGTTAATTGCCAACACAGAAAGCTTTCCTTCCGAGTTTTTGGGGGATGCCTTAGACTGCAGTCATGCCTCCCTGCAACTCTACGACCATCCCCACCATTTACAGCTGAAGTCAGGGCCCCGCAAAGGAAGGACCCAAAAGCAATAAAGGTGACAGGAGGGAGAAGTTAAGTCAGAAAAATGGAGAGGCAGAGAGAAAGTGGGTACAAATTGAAAAAGGAAGGCTGAACTGGTCCCAAAGTTCAGACTGGGAGAAGAAGCCCCTGGAGTCTGAGCAGCTCAGTCCCCAGCCAATACAGGTAGCATACTCTGAATTTGGAGGGGCCAGACCTGAGTATGAATCCTGGCTTTGCTGCTTACTTGATATCTGACCTTGGGCAAGTCATTTCCCTATTTGTACCTCAGTTTCCTCACCGGTAAAATAATGGGCATAGACAAGACAATTTCTAAGGTTCCTTCTAGCTCTACATTTTTATCCCCCCCCCACCTTCCCCTCCTACCAATGTTCCTTTTAGTCTATAGGCCAAACCGCACCCCAGGCCAACCCAAATACCTGAACTGATGCAAGCCTAGCCCTCCTCTTTTCTTTCTCTGCCACTGAGGGACCGGCCTATTCCAGAAGAACCAAGGTAGGGGAGGTAATGACATTGAGGATATCCCAAAGCCTAGGCAAGAAGATTCCTGGTAAAGGCCTCCCAACCCAGACTGTCATAGGGCACTTCACCTGCCCCAAAACGGCCCACACCAATCCAGTACTCAGAAAGCTGTACCACCACCCCTCTTGGCCTTTGCCCTGCGAGGGGGCCAGGTCAGGTTTTCTGGACCACCACCAAGCACCACAGCCTTGGAAAAGAAGGTTTGGCTCTTGACTCCCCTCCTACAAGAAGGGGCCCCAGTAACCCTTCCGAAAAGGGTTTCCTCCCATTCCCCGAACACTGGCTACCAAACACCCTTCCCCAGCAACACCGAGAAAAACCCAAGTCCTCAGCTAACGCTGCTGTGTGTGCATGTGTGTATGTGTGTGTGCTCCGGCCCCCTGGCAGAGCCTACATTGTAGCTATGAACTCCTTCCCCAAGGGCGGATTCCCCCTTGTCGGGAAGGCTATAGCAGCGGAGGGTCTGGGGTTGGGAGGTGCTGGGATGGAAAGGAGAAAGCATGAACTCCACCAAACCTCTCCCCGGACCCCGGGCACTCCGGGGAAAGGAACTAGCTAACCCCGGTTACGTGGGTGACTCTTCGATGGGAAGGGGAGGGAAGGCCTCCAGGAGCCCTAGAAACTTGGCCAGGAAGGGGAGCCCCTGCCTCCCGGCCCGGGCAGAAAAACTTGGTTGGAAGTTAGGGGTCCCAGCCAGCAGGGAGGGTGCGCCCGGGGCTGGGGAGAGTGCAGAGGGGGGCGCCAGCGCTCACCTGGGGTTACTCCGGTTCCAGTAGACGGCATAGCGGTCGGAGATCACTTTGGCCGCGTCGTCCGTGCACACGCGGACCCAGGCTAGGGCGAGCAGAAGCAGCGCCAGCAATCTGGGCTGCACCATGGTGCGGGTCCGCTCCGCTCCTCGCTCCGCTCGACTCGCGGTCTGGCCGCCGGCTTGCCGCCCTCCTCCTCCTCCTCCTCTTCCTCCTCCTCCTCCGCCCCCGCCCCCGCCCGGCCGCCGCCTCCCCCCAGCTCCGAGCTCTGGTCGCCCCTGCGAAAGCTGGAAGGTGAGGGGCTTGGGCTGGCGGACAGGCGGGGGGATGGGAGAGGAGGGGGTGCCTCCTCCTCCGGCTCCTCGGGGCTTCTAGGCGCCGCGTCCGTTCCCTTCCTCCCCTTCCTCCTCCTCTCCTTCGCCTGACAGCGCGCTCCCGGGGGCACCAGCGGTTCAAGCTGCGTGCGGCTGTCTGGGCGCGCTCAGAGATCCAGACAAGAGGGCGGCCTCCGTCCTAGGCGCACTGGGGCGAGGCGGGAAGTCCACGCTCTCTTGGGCTCCCGGAGCCGATTGCACGCCTCCGGACCCAGCAGCCAGGTCCTCGCGAAGGGTGGATGGGTGGGTGGGGGCAGCCGCTGGCGACAGGTGGCGACGAACCTCTCCACGCCGCCGACCCCGGTCAGCTTGGTAAAGAAGTCAGGCGGAGACAAAGTTTTCGGCGCCCATGGTCTCTCGAGGGGCGGGGGAGGAAGGGGGGGGCCTGGAGGCGGCAGTGGCGACTGAGCAGGCGGAGGGGGGCGCGAAGACCCCTCTTAGGCTGCCCCCCGCAAAGCTGCAGTGGTCCGGCCGGGCGGGGTGGCTCGGCTGGGGCGCTCACAGCCCCCTGGGCACTGCATCCACCTCACCGATCGCCCGGTGCGCCTTCCCCGGCGGCCCCATCCTGCCCGGGCGCTCGAGTCCCAGAGCCGCCACTACCGGCGCGCTCCGCCTCCTTCCTCCCCCTTCCTCCTCCTCCTCTTCCTCCTCCTCCTCCTCCTCCTCCTCCTCCTCCTTCTCCTGCCTCTCTGTCTTTCTTCTCCCCCTCGCCCCGGCCCGGCCCCGGCCCCCGCCCCGCCCCGGCCGGGGGCCGCCTCCCCCAGCCTCCTCCCGCCTCTTCCTTCTTCTCCCCCACCCGGCGGCGGCGGCGGCGGCGGAGGCGGCGGCGGCTGCGTCCCGGGCGCTGGGAGCGGAGGGGCGCGCGGGGCGCCAAGACCACAACAGGTTCGCTAGGGGCTGGGGGCGAGGGGCGGCCGATCGAGCGCCCCCTCCCCTCGGGGCCCCGCCCCCTCAGGCCCCGCCCCTGCGTCCGAGCCCCTCCCCCGCTTCTCCCACCCCCCTCCCGCCTGGGGATTGGAGCAAGCGCCCCGACAGGCCAGGTCGGGCCAGGGCCTGGGGGGGTGGGGTGGGGGGAAGAGGGAGGGAACAAGGCGGGAGAGATGGGAGGGGGGAGTCTGACGCCCCCTCCCCTTCAGGCCCCTCCCCCTCCCTCCTTGCGGGACCTGACGATTGGAGCAGGCGCGCGGACAGGCCAAGGCCCGGTTGGGGCCTGGGGAGCGCGCGGGCAAGAGGCGAGGGTCTTCCCGGCGCGCAAAGTTGCGCCGCTTTGCAAGCCGAGAGTGGAGGGCTTTCCTCCTGGGCCCGTCGTCAGCCTCCCTCGGGCTGCAGCCAGGGCCTGGCCTCCCCTGCGGGCGGTGGCTGCAGCTGCAGCGGCTGCGCCCCCCCGCCGGCCGCCCCCCTCTCCCCCCCCCCCCCGGGGCCCCGCGCTTTCTGCGCGGAGGCCACATTGTCACCGCCTTCGGCGCCCCCTCCCCCTCCTCCTCCCCCCAGGCCCAGAGGCGGGGCCGGGCTGGCGGCTACCACCCCAACCCAATCCCCCCACCCCTCGCAAGGGTCCCAGCTCCTGCCCCCCAGCCTGCTCGGAACACACACGCACACGCACACACACTGCAAGCACACACATCGTGCGAGGCCGGCGGCCGCGGGAGAAACTGCTCCATCCCTCTGTCTCTTGGGGCTCATTCTCCCCATCTCTTTCCCGCCCACCTCCCATCTCAATCTCTCATCGCATTTAATTGTGCCTCTGACTCTGACCCCCTCCTATCTTGTCTCCCTAGGTCTCAGTCTCTCATCCTCTCACTCCATCTCTCTGTCTCTGTTTCATCTTGTCTCTCCCTCTCCTCTTGTTCCTCTGCCTCTCACCCCGCATCTTTTGTCTCTCAATCCATCTCTTTGTGTCTCTGGCCCTTATCCTCTCTGCCTCTCATCGTGCCTCTCCTTTCCTCTCAATCTCTCCCTCTCATCGTATTTCTCTGCCTCCCAGCCCTTATCTTTCTTTGTCTCTGTATCTCTGGCCCTCATCCTCTGTCTCTCATCTTGTCTCTATGTGTCTCATACCCTTTCTCTGTCTCTATTTGCGTATTTGTCTCCTTGGGTTTCTCCCTCCTCTGTACTTTCCCTTTGCGGCATTAAGCAAGTTATTTACACTCTCTGGGTCTCAGTTTCCCCATCTTTAACTCTAAATCCTTGTGCTTTTATGCCAGTCAGTGTGAGAGGGAGAGAAAAGTACAGGGATTTAGAGTTAAAGATGGGGAAACTGAGACCCAGAGAGTGTAAATAACTTGCTTAATGCCGCAAAGGGAAAGTACAGAGGAGGGACTCAAAGCTGGGTCTGCTAACTCCAAGACCATCACTCTTTCCACAAACAGAAAGGGTCTCCTCTCACCTTGTTTCTCTCCGTCTTCTCCCCCCCCCACCCCCCCACCCCCGCCCATTCCCACTGTGGGTGGGACCTCTTTAGGAAGCTGCCTTTGTTTCCCTTGTACATTAGGGGCAGAGGCTGATTCTCCCCCTACACACACACACACACACACACACACACACACACACACACACACACTGGAATGGGGGGGGGGGGGAGGAGATGAGAGGAAGAGATAGATGTGATTTCCTAGTGGGAGAAGACCTTAGCCAGGGCCCAGGAGAGACATTCTGGGATGTGCAGTAGCCCCCCCACTACAGACCACCAGGGTGAGTTCTCTCCCCCTCTTCCTCCTGTCAAAATCTCTTAGGCAGGCTACCACGACCAGGCAGCCTCCCTCCCTGCCTCCTTGCCTCTCCCTCTTCCCTCCCTGTCAGCAGCAAAACTATCATAAAGCTGTCCACTTGTCTATCAACTGGGTTTGTTTTCATTGCCTGCTAGGGACTGAAAGCCTCACAAGCTGGGGTGGGGATACATCTGTAGACTTGTCCAAATTGAGGCTGGGAAAGGGGTCCCTGGGATAGGGAGGAGGAAGAGGACTTCTAAGGCAAACAAACAGAACCCCCTCCCCCAGGCCTGGAAGGGGAGAGAAGAACCCTTGGACAGGAGACAAAGGGGAGCCCTGGACAGGTGGATAAGAGAGCTAAAGGAGAGAGGAGGGGAAACATCCCAGCATGATAGTCTGATGGAGAGGGGAAGAGAGAAGATAAGGAAATCCCTAGGCAGAAGGGGAATGGACTCTGGTTTAGGGCTCCTCTATCCTTCCCCCACATCCAAATCCATCCATCATAGGCCACTGAATCCATCTCTCCAGCTAAACTGATCTATCCTTTGTCCTATCTCCCTGTCTTTGCTCCCAGTATTTCTGATGCCTCGAATACTCCCCCCCCCCATCTTCATCTGTTGAATTCCCATCCACTCTTTAAAGCCTGACTGAAAGGCTGCCTCCTCCAGGAAGCTTTCCTAACACACACACACACACACACACACACACACACACACACAAACAGACCCAGTCCCTTACTGAACTTTGTACCTCTCTAATGCACTTAACCATGTTATGTATATTGGCATTACTGTGTTTCTTATATCCCTCCTAAATGGTGATCTTCATGAGGGCAGGGACCTGTGTTTTCTTTAGACTCTACATCTCTTCCATCTCCCAGTATGAGTCTTTGTACACAGTAGACACTTAATAAATGTCTGACTACATTGATTTGAGTTTCCCTAGGGAGGGAAAAGGGAACTTCAAGGCAAATAAGTCCATCTCTGATCAAATCACCCCCCTAGTCAAGAACCTCCAAGATTTCTTTGAATAAAGACCAGACTTCTTAGCTTGACATTCAAGGCCTCTATAGTCTGACCCTAACTTACTTCTTAATTCAATCCTTTTGGAAAGCCTTCTCAGATCTAGGCCCCCCCCCCCCCCCGCCCAATCCTCAGGTTGATAACAGCCTTGGACCCATTATACTACTGTGCTTTCACCTCTCTGTTGTGCTTTGAAGGGCTACAGAGATGTTAGCTACTGTTATTACTTACTACAAGGAGTATCCTCCTTGCTATATACAATCTAGTAACATTGTATTTAGTTATCTATGTACACGTCATTTCCCACCTAAGGGCTTCAAGAATCACAAGGGTAGGTTACATTTGGTTGTATATCCAGCGCAGTGTTGTGCATATGGTAGGGGCTTAATAAATGTTTGTTAAATTGAATGAATGAATGAGTGAAGAATTGAATGAATTTAAGAATGAATAAATGAGCGAGCAACAATTAAGCACCTACTATATGCCAAGTACTCTGCCACATAGTGAGAAAAGCAACCCTTGCCTTCAAGGAGCGTATGTGATGGCGAGTTACATTTATTCTAATAAATGAGTGAATGAAGCAATGAATGAGGAATGGGGTTGTAAGAGGGATTCTGACAGGTCAGGGGTAGAGAAGATGTCCCCTGCTGGTGAGCTCCAAGCACCACTACACATTCCCTCCCGGGCTCCAGCTAGTCCTAAACCCCGTCTGTCCCAGAGTAGGCCCCTCAGGAACCCACAGTCTGAAGTATATGGGACCATTTTGAAAAACAGTAACAATAATAATAACAATAACTAGCAGTTCTATATAGTACTTTAAGGTTTACAAAGCCCTCTACAAACATTTTATCCTCAAAATGACTGAGAGATAAGAACTATTGTTATCCTCATTTTACAGATGAGGAAATTGAGGCTGGGGGTGGGACATCACACAGCTAGTAAGTATCTGAGGCAAGATTTGAACTCAGGTCTTCCTGACTCCAGGCTTAGGATTCTATCTTCTGCCCTGCCTAGAATGAGCCCCAGGCTTCATCTGCCATTCCCCCTAG